GGTGCTGCTGCTGCCCCAGGTCCAGCATGGTGAACCCCACAGGCATGAACCCAGACCTGGAGCACCTCAAGGTCCTGATGGCCTTTGCAACAGCAAAGACTGTTAGGATTATACCCAGTAGAGCATTATGTTAGTGCATTAAAAAAAAATTCAAATTTCTGAAAAACTGGAGTTCCATTGGAAAAACCTCAAGCCCCAACTATGCTAGAACATAGTCTGTTGCTGTATTATCTCGGGGATCCTCAGCTTGGAGATTTTGATGGTCTGGTTGAGCACGCTGAGGAATTATTACTTTTACTTGGAATGTAAGTAGGACTTTAGTGGAAGGGAAGGCACAGCATTGCTTATTTCTTGGCTGAAGTCCAAGACACAATAATTAGCAAATGATTTGGTGGTGGTCACGTTTGTACTTACTCGAGTTAATAATTTGCTTTAAGCAACATGTATTTTCTATAGTCTTCACCACTGGATAGAAAGGTTTGGATTTCCAAAGGAAACCTATGTAAGTCTTATATTCCAGTTAGTTAAATTCCTGTGCTTACATCTGATGTATCCTTCTGCCTGAGAAAAACATAGGAGCTAATGCTGAATTAAATCTACAATTCACTGATGATCTCTTGGTTTCAGTTTCCTCTTTTGTATTTAATGGTAACATCTAAGTCAGATACAACTAGACTGAAAACATCCAATCAATGTCACTGTTAATTGTGATGGGGATCTGGAAAACCAGCCTTGTTTCTGTGGACTGCTAAGAAGGCCCCAGGAAAATCAAACCCACTTCAGAAAATAATAACTTCCTATCGATTCTATCCCACTCTCTTGCCAGAGTCTATCCTTATTCCATGAAATACATTCTTCTTCTTTTTTTTTTTTAAATAAGCGAGATCTCTTGAGAAACTCTGAATTCTTTTGGTTTGATAGTAGAAATAGTTTCCTGTATTCTGCCTGTAATTTTCCAAACGTTATAAAGCCAAAGTCCTTGTGCTTGAAAGTATTTTGAGTTCCCCCACCCCCATTTACAGGTGAAAAGGGTCACTTCTCTGTTGAATTCAACAGCAGCTCTCACGGATGGTGAGACCTGCATCCTTGCTAGTCTTTCAGGGTTTAGAAAAGAGTTCACTAGCATAAGTCAATATAGGTTTCAAATCCAAATAAAACTATAAATGTGTTATTGGCTAAGAAACAGCGAAAGACTAAACTGTAAGAACTGTTTTCTGTTTTCCATATTGGAAAGCTGAGCTAACAAAGAACAAGTCATTTTTAGTGAAACTACTGATTTGCATCTGCCTCTGTGAGCGTCTTTTGCATTCCTCTTGTGTTTAAGATGTAATACACACCCGTATCCCTGTGGAACATGCACATTCTAATGACGTGCTCAAGCATAATTTTAATTCACAGTTCCATCTCTGATCTCAAGCACCATACTGGGTATTTAGTAAGCACTAGATATATATGTGTTGGATGAATGAAGGAATATTGGTATTTAGAGAAAAATTTGCAAGATTCTAATTAAAAAAAAAAAAACAAGCACAGGGTCTGGAGTCAGTATGAAGAAGGCGGGGGCTTCAGTTGTGGCCAGGCCTGCTGTACATGAGGTGAGAACCCGGGAATCACTTTTTGGGCCACCAGAGCCCCAGCCCTTGTTGCAGAACCCAGAGCTGGCCTCTTGGTCCCTGAGCTCTCCTGGCAGTCCCCGGCCAGGCCTTGTCTTTGAGACTTTTGTGTTTGTGTGGCCTAAGAGGATTCTGGTCACTCTGCTTATGGCCTCCAGTCTCACGATGTATGCGCTTATGAGTGCACTCACATTACACAGGAAAAAAAAAAAGCCCTAGGGCCAGGCACAGTGGCTCACGCCTGTAATCCCGGCACTTTGGGAGGCCAAGGTGGGTGGAACACCTGAGGTCAGGAGTTCAAGACTAGCCCGGCCAACATGGTGAAACTCAGTCTTTAATAAAAATACAATAATTAGCCGGGCGTGGTGGTGGGCACCTGTAATCCCAGCTACTTGGGAGGCTGAGGCAGGAAAATAGCTTGAACCCAGGGGGCCGAGATTGCGCCACTGCACTCCAGTCTGGGCAACAGAGTGAAACTTTGTCTCAAAAAAAAAAAAA